TTTGGTATGATGAGAATTTTATTGATATCGAAAAAAATGTACACCTAGTCAAGGGGAACATAAATCTAACCTCTCATAACATAAGAAAAAAGGATAAAAAAAAAATACATGAAAAGAATGGGGGACATAAACCTTAACCTTCTAGAAACAAAAACAACAAAAATACAAGGAATAACCCCTCTAAAGCCAAACCTAAAGGTCTAAACCTGTAAAACAGAAAAAGCAACGTCCCAAGGTTAAGGAAAAAAAAAGAGTGAGACAATTCTGTATGTCAAGATGCATATTAATTTGAGAAGCGGAAACGAGGCAAGCCAACATAGTCTAAAAACAAAGCAACACAAACTGGAGGGGAATCATATCATACCAAAGTTGGAGAAGACAAGCCCATATTAGCAAAATTATCCGCAACTACATCCTTCACGACATATGTGAGAGGCATAGAAAGTCATCTTCTGAATGTGGTCCAAATAAGTAAACCATTGCATACGAAGAGGCCCAGGACGATCAAAATCTGTCGATTGGAGGGCAAAAATAACACTAGAATAGTCACTTTACAGCTAAAGACAATGCCAACCCCATTGATATGCAAACTCTACACCAATAATAACTGCTGATAAGTTTGCAAAAAAAAAAAAAAGAGTTGTAATGAACAATCCCTTGGCAGAAACCACCAAGAAACTAACCATGGCAATCCCGAAAAAACTCCTCCATAAGCAGCAAGACCAGGATTTCCTTTAGACTGACATGATTTGCTCGACTAAAAAATTTGTCATTCTTGTTCNCGAATTGGTCGCTTCTTGAAGATGTTGCGTTGTGCACTAGCTGGGTTGAAGTTACTCATAATTCCCTTACGGGTAATGAGATGCAGTTGTGAGAAATGTGGAGTTTAATTCATACCAAATTTCTTGAGCAAATAGGTGGGAAAAAAACCAAAGAATCGATGTCCAGTCGTTGGAAAATACTTTGCCATTCCTTTAGTACGTGGAGAGATGCCTTGACACAAGCTAATAGTAATGTTTGAAGTGGGGCAAATTATGCGGATGAGGTAAGAATATATTATAATTATTTGTTTATATTACTATTTTGTTACCTAATTTGATTATAATTATTTGTTTGTATTATTTATTTGTTACCTAATTTCATTATTATTATTTGTTTGTATTATTTATTTGTGACCTAATTTCATTAATATTATTTGTTTGTATTATTTATTAGTTACCTAATAATTTCATTAGTATTATTTGTTTGTATTATTTTTTGTTTAATAATTATTATTATTATTATTAATTATTTGTTACCTAATAATTTTCATTATTATTATTTTTTGTATTATTTATTTGTTACCTAATAATAATTTCATTATATTATTTGTTTGTATTATTATTTGTTACCTAATAATTTCATTATTATTATTTGTTTGTATTATTTATTTGTTACCTAATAATAATTTCATTATTATTATTTGTTTGTATTATTTATTTGTTTACCTAATAATTTTTATTATTATTATTTTTTGTTTGTATTATTTATTTGTTACCTAATAATTTTCATTATTATTATTTGTTTGTATTATTTATTTGTTACCTAATAATTTCATTATTATTCGTTTGTAGCAACTTCAAGCACAAGCATGCTGCCAAAATCAAATCAAGAAACAAATCATTCCACCGGTGGGAATGTTGGAATATTGTTAAAGATTGTCCTAAATTCAAAGTTGTGCCTGTTGGTCCAGAAGTATGCATGAACAACAGCACCCCTCTACACAGCACCTTTGTACACAAACACCCTCCACACTCTACACCCGATCATGGCTCCTATGTTGATGAAGAAGATGGAAAAGAAATGCCTGAAACGCCCATTCTTGAACAAGCGTCGGGGTCGACCCGTTATCCAATTAGGCCTCTAGGTAAGAAGGCTTCAAAGAGGAAAGGGAGTGCTTCCAAGAATGATTATGGAAAGTACATGCAAGAACTTGCTCGTCAAGGTGAATTGATGTTGGCATGGGAATTGGCAAAATATGAGGCTGAAAAGGCTAGAGATGAGGCAAAAGCTGCAGCTATTCAACAAGCATTTCAAGCTGAACAGAGGGAAAGAGAGCTACTTAGGCAAGAAAGGGAGTTGCTTAAAGAAGAAAGAATTGCACAACGAGATCGTGACATTATGAACACGCGTTTAGAAGGGATGTCTCCAAATTCTAAATATTTTTGGCAATCGGAGAAAGCGGATGTGGTGCAAAGGAGGCGTGCAAGAGAAGCGAGATCAAGACAAGATGGTCCTAGCACAACAAGACAAGATGATCCTAGCACCATAGATTGGCTAAGTGGTGATGAATAGGGTACTTTTTGTAATTGGAGCCCATAGTTTTCCAATAACTTTGGGTTGTAATTTATTATTTATATTGTTTCCAATTTATTGAAGTTAGTACTTTATTTAAAGTGAGAGTACATTTATTTAATTTCGTAATATATTTATCCTAATAATAGAATATTTATTCATCAAATTGTTCACGTATAATGAAATTATAAAACACACCAAATAAAACTTAAAAACTCACCAATTGGAATTACATAAACACACCAAATAAAATTACATAAAAATACGAAATAATAAAAAACTCACTACAAAAAACACACCAAATAAAATTACATAATCATACGAAATAATAAAAAACTCACTACAAAAAACACACCAAATAAAATTACATAAACACACCAAATACAAACAAACATACTAAATAAACTTAAGTATCTTCAGCTTGTTTCAATGCCCACTGGTGCTCTATCAAGTCAATTTGCCGATCATTGTGCATAGATGACCTTTGAAGTGCAGTATATCGTTGAATGACCCTTTCATTGTAACGTCCATCCCTTTCTAATGGCTCGTGTTGCTCGAGTTCTTCGGTGGCATCATGCACACAATGTATCCGTGTTCTTGAATTGTTTCATCGTGTCTGGCTCTGGCTCATATTCATCAACCGCATCATAATCGAACTCATCTTCCACAATCATGTTGTAAAGAATGACGCACGTCATCATGATGGATCAAAGTGACTCTACATCGAACATTCTGGTAGCACCCCTGACGATCGCCCAACGAGCTTGAAGGATACCAAAACAACGTTCCACATCCTTCCTGCACCCTTCTTGACAGCTTGCAAAGTGTTTTTCCTTTGCACTTCGCGGACGTGGCACTGTTTTGACAAATGTTTCCCACCGTGGGTAAATGCCATCAGCTAGGTAGTATGGCCTGTCATACCTACGTCTGTTGACGACGTACGTGACTTTTGGTGCCTTTCCTTGCAGGACGTCGTTGAACACTGGGGATTGGGCAAGGACGTTGAGATCATTTTGAGCCCCCGGAACCCCGAAAAAGGCGTGCCATATCCATGTATCAAAAGATACCACTGCCTCTAAAATGATAGATTTTTGATCATTTTCTGTCCCCATATGCGCCTTGCCATGCACTTGGACAGTTTTTCCACTTCCAGTGCATACAATTGATGCTTCCTATCATCCCAGGAAAACCTCGCATCTCGCCCTTCTTCAGAAAGCCTTTGCAAGTCCATGCGAGTAGGTTTTCGGAGGTACTCTGCGGTGTACAAAAGATTCGACTGCTTCGCAAAACCTCATCAGGGCCTCAAGAATGGTTGATTTCCCCATCCTCGTTATCTCATCCACTTGGTCTGCAGATGCTCCATACGCAAGCATCCGCAACGCAGCAATGATTTTTTGCTGAGGCATGAGACCTATAACACCACAAGCATCCTTCTTTTGCACAAAGTAAGAATCATGGTTGCAAACATCAGTCATGATTCTGTTGAACAAATGTCGTTCCATTCTAAAATGGCGTCTGAAGTACGTATCAGGAAATGCACTGTTATGGACAAAGTAATCGTCCAACAGCTCTTCACCCTGTCGTTGTCTGCTTCTATCAAGGTTTCTTGAACGATTGGGCCTGCATATCTGAGCAACAGTCTGGATGACTCGACGACGGGAATGTGATGCTCTGGCCATTCTTGTTTCGTCATTTCTCCTTCTACGCTCCTCATCCTCTTCCATCTCATTTTCGGCTATCTGATGGTTGAACATTCCTTCAGATTGGTTAAACAATTCTTCCTCTTGTTGATCGATTTCCCACATCATCCTTGATGAAGAAGAAGACATTGTAAGGATGGATGGTGAAGAAGAAGCAGAAACTATGAATAATGAGATAGAGATGTTGAGAAAATTGGTGTGAGATTTGTGAGGATGGATGGTGGATTATATGGACGATTCAGAAAAGGATCAGATTGTAGATGAGGCCACGTGGCATGCCGTCATTCGTTAAAAATATGATCGAAATCTATCCTCAAAGATTCTGAAAAGATAATGACATGTGGCACGATCGTATTGGATAAAAATCTTATCGAAATCAATCTCCAATAATTATCTTTTCGGATAATGACACGTGGCGCAATTTTGAACGAGTTAAAATCTGATCAAAATCTATCGTCAAAGATTCTCAAAAGATAATAACACGTGGCACGATGACATTGGATAAAAATCTTATCGAAATCGATATCCAATAATTATCTTTTCGGATAATGACACGTGGCGCAATTTTGAACGAGTTAAAATCTGATCGAAATCTATCGTCAAAGATTTTCAAAAGATAACGACATGTGGCATGATGACATTGGATAAAAATCTTATCGAAATCCATCGCTAAATAATTGTTTTTTTTTATAAAATGACACGTGGCGCAACGAGAATGATTTAAAAAATCTTTTCCGAAATTACAAATAATTTTATTTTGTATTATTTAAACAAACAAAAAAACTAATATTTTATTGCCTATTGCCAGAGGGGAGGGCTCCAAGGGTGGAGATGTAAATGACAATTACTGTTCATTAATGGTAGTTACTATTCATTAAAGGCAGTTACTGTTCAAAATGGTGGATTCAATAGTGGATTGCCAGGGGGGAGGGGTGGAGTTGCTCTAAGAAATCCCTCTCATTCAACTCTCTCTCTAAAAAAAAAAAAACCCAAAAATGGCTTTGGAGCACCAACGACGAATTAAAGTACGAGTGCTAAGATTTCAAGAAGCCCTTGGTCATGGCTATCAAGAGTCTGATTTATGAATCCCAGAGCAAGTGACATTTGGGTTTTTTAATTAATTTGCTAATTTAATTTTTGTCTTTTTAAGTTTGGGTTGTTAATATTCATGCTTAATGGTTAAATCTTTGCATGAATTTTTTTGTGGTCAACGAGTATTTTAGCTTCAAAGTATATGAGTTTGTGCTAATTTAACTCTTGGATTGTTAAGCATATATATATATTGTTTATCTCATTAGCTACTAATTATCCGCTAATTTTAGCTTCTGGGCTGTGAAATTTCTTATTCTTCAATTTTGGTGCTTATCTCCTCTGTCATCATCAATTTTGGTGGTTATGTTGGGCTTTCATTTTTCCACAGGACTTTAAGGATATCCTCAGGTCATTTGGTATCGTCTTCTTTGCGTGTCTCTCCCTCTCTTCGACAGCAACGCCTCTGATTTTTCTTGGTAATCGCTTTTGTGTTTTCTTGGTATTTAGGATCTAAGATTTTTGGTTTATGAAGAGCAGCTGCAGGCGAAGTATGAGGTACCCTTTTCTTTTTTCCGTATTTTTTTGTTTAATTTCTATTTCATGCGTGGTGGATTTCTCTTTGGTAATCATTGAATTGCTTCTATATTTGCTTGGTATTTAGGATTTTTTTTTTTGAGGTACTTTTCTTTTATTTTTATTTTCATTTTTTTTTAATTTTCTAATTTTTATGCAATATATGAAAAGATTGTATGAATCTCATGCATGATTATTACCAAATTTCTATATCTTTCGTTGAATAATATTGGTGATTATGATTTCATGCCTTTTTATCATCACAGCTGCTGAAGAACTTGGACTCTATCGCAATGTTGTTTACTAGACCTTGGAATGTTTGGATTTTTATCCGGTTTCGTGTTCAACCAACTATTTGATGAATTTGTATTCCTACTAAAGATATGAGTGTTGGGAATGAAATAAATATGCAAGTTTTTGCATAAGTAATATACATTTTTGCCTTCCCTCTCACAGCTTTGTTCGTTGGCTTCCTCCATTGACCTCCACACCTACATCTCTCTTCGTTCGAATGTTAGATAAGGAGTACATCACTGACAACATGTTGCAACTAAGGTATATCATTGAAAAGTTTTTGCAACAATTTGAAAATTTAGCAAAGAAAAATGATTTCCCTCCTTTTTGTTTTGTTGTAGTAGTGATCCAATTTTTTCTAGGCTTTTAATTGAATAAATAAACTGAGAATCAAGCGACGGAAATATGAGAAGTGGATAATTACTTCGAAGAAGTGCAATCAAGATTGAAAATAAATGCCATGAAAGCATCGATTTAGTTGTTTAGAACACCAAACAGAGCCTTCTATTATCATTTTCTGTATTTGTTTCCTTCAGAAAACATAAAAAAATCTCTCTTCAAATGTACATAAAAACTAAAAACTGCGTATCTCACAAGCCTCTAATCTCTCAAATTAGTTTTGTAAAAAACATTAGTACTGAAGCTATGCATCAGTCTAACAAAAATCTGGTTCACAGGATATTATGATACTATGAATCATAGATATGACAAATCAAAAGGTAATGATTTTTACACTCCTGTCATCTATTTTATTCAATCGCTTGATTCTTATCTAATTTATTCAATCCAAAAGGCTAATTCAGTTAAGATATTGTATTAATGTATGGTTTATTGTATTCTCTTAACTGAAGGAATTTTTATGAGGCGAGCTCAAAATCAAAGAAAGTTTTTTGGTTTATCTTATTTTCTTTTTATTCAATTTTCTTTTCTGGGAATAATATTAGTAAGACCATTTTGGTAAGCGAATTCGATTGTATAGGCATGGTTGCTTACAAGACAAAATATTTGTTCTTTGCTTTATGATTTCTAGGCTTTTAGATTAGAAATGGTAGCCTCAATACTTTGGTATATGATCGAGTACAAGATTGGGATATGGCATTTATAAAATATGGGGTTGTAATAATTAACTTTTTCTTTGTTCTTTATCATAGCACTATGGATTCGAATTGGATTGGGTGCTTGGTGCTGTACTTTCCATGGATATTTTGGAGGCGTCGTGTGATTTACAGCGTCTAGGCCGGCCTAGCTCACAGAGATCTTCGTTGATGGTAAACTATTAATCCCTGAGATATCTGTTTCTTTTTGTTCATTTCACATGCGTGGCTGTTTATTGAAAATTATCTGCCAAGAACCGGAGATGGTCTCGGGTTTTAGGTTAAAATTGAATCATCAGTGATTTTGAAAATATGGTATTTCTGCTGAAACCTATAACGATGGATGCATAGGTTATACATGCGGATTTTCACATTATCGTAGTTCTCTATTGATTTATGGAAGGTAGTCTTAACTCTTCATCTATGTACCAATTTTTTATTTTAGTGTTTAGGCAGAAATTACAGAGGAGCTTATTTGTTGGAGATTCGAGGAGGAAAACTTAGCACCGTGGCACCACTGGAAGTGGTAATTGCTAATCAGGTTTTCACTCTTTTTTCCACATACTTTGGTTCAAAGCATGTAGAAATGTCAAGTTTAGTTGGATGCTAGCAAGTGGTTTCCGTTTCCATCCTTTTGCAGCTGTCAATTTTAGTTTACCTATTGTATCATGCCTTCCAAACTTTTTATTCCTAGATTTTCATATCACATAGTCATTGAATTTAGAACCTCAGCCTCTGCCCCCTATGCTTACGAGAGAAAGGGGTGCCTGGGAAAATAAATCTAATTTATTTCAAATTTTGAATCATAAACCAAGAAGAAAACTGACTTGAAACACCAAGATCATAGCCAAAGAGAGAGCCTCCTAAAGCTGCAATGCAAGCAAAGACGAAATACCAAGTAATCCTATACTCATACTGATGAGCCCTTTTAGATACTGCTTCATCACCACCAAATCCTCCTGTGTCGATTTAAGACAATCAAGGCATAATCAGGAAAGTCTCTCACACCACTTACATTTACGTCGCGGCTGATATATTTTTTGCATCCAATTTTCCATTATCTACTCTTTAACTTACTTCTGTTATAGTTATTTCAATCAATTCTTTAACATATATACTCTTTTTAAGGAATTGTTGCTACACTTATTGTCCTTCAAAGAGCAGTATACCGGATCATAAAACAATTTTCAAGTGTAGTATTATTCAAAAGTGTAATGTCACTGTAAACACGGAATTTTCCTAAAACAAACGAGACAAGAACACGTGTACAAAATAATATTTGTATTTGATGATTTTGGGTTACAATCTCTCTCAAATTTGATCCTCTGATTTGATCTTCGTAAGGTGTTGATTTGTGGATGTGCGATTGATCTAAAGGGCCGTTGGGCTTGATCTAAGGATGAACGTTCTTCAAGGGCCGTGGGCTTGATCTTGAAGGTGGATTTGAGCGGATCTTCAAGGAGCCGTTGGGGCTTGATCTTGAGGATGAGCGTTTCTTCAAGGGCCGTTGAGGCTTGATCTTGAATAACGGTGATGAACGGATCTTCAAGGGCTTTTGGGCTTGATCTTGAAGAACAATGATTGACGGATCTTAAAGGGCTTTTGGGCTTGATCTTGAATAACGATGATGAGCGGACCTTCAAGGGCTTTTGGGTTTAATCTTGAAGAACAATGATTGACAGATCTTCAAGGGCTTTTGGGCTTGATCTTGAATAACGGTGATGAACGGTGAACACTTTCTTCAAGAGCCGTCGGGGCTTGATCTTGAATTGGTGGAAGTTCTTCAAGGGCCTTTGGGGCTTGATCTTGAATTGGTGGAAGTTCTTCAAAGGGCCGTCGGGGCTTGATCTTGAAGGTGGATGATTGTTGATCCAAGGGCTGTCAGGGCTTGATCTTGGAAGAACAATGAACGAAGAACGAAGAACGAAGAGGGCTTTCTTGATTCTTTGGGAACCTGGATGCTTGAGAGCTTCGGAGTTTCAGAGCTTCAGAGCTTCAAGGTTTTTGGTGTAATATGAATTGGGTTCTGAATTCCCCCCCCCCCCAAATGAATGCATTGGCTTCCTATTTATAGAATTTTCTAAGGCTTAATTTTGAATATAATATGCAGATGAAATAAATCGTTTTTGCCAGGTATTGACATGTGTCCTATTTGATGACTTTTTTGATTTATTTTGATTTTTCGTTTAGTCACACGCTACGTGTAAAATTTACGTGACATGTGAGCGTTGAAATTGTAACTATTGGTCAACATTTATTTCACCAAAATTTCAATGTCTACAAATACTCCCACTTCAAGGCGCATCGTATACACGTGCTTGTCACATGTAGGAGATGCGTTTGATGCTAGTCAGGGAGGTTTCTGTCCTTAAAGACCCTTTTAGGAGGGCATCGTATATATTTATATCGCACATTAGGACCCACCTCTTAGACATGGTGGGCTATCATGAAATATGCAACCGAATGGACGGACATGATTTTTTTTTTTTTTTAGAAAACTTTTGGTATGATGAGAATTTTATTGATATCGAAAAAAATGTACACCTAGTCAAGGGGAACATAAATCTAACCTCTCATAACATAAGAAAAAAGGATAAAAAAAAAATACATGAAAAGAATGGGGGACATAAACCTTAACCTTCTAGAAACAAAAACAAACAAAAATACAAGGAATAACCCCTCTAAAGCCAAACCTAAAGGTCTAAACCTGTAAAACAGAAAAAGCAACGTCCCAAGGTTAAGGAAAAAAAAAGAGTGAGACAATTCTGTATGTCAAGATGCATATTAATTTGAGAAGCGGAAACGAGGCAAGCCAACATAGTCTAAAAACAAAGCAACACAAACTGGAGGGGAATCATATCATACCAAAGTTGGAGAAGACAAGCCCATATTAGCAAAATTATCCGCAACTACATCCTTCACGACATATGTGAGAGGCATAGAAAGTCATCTTCTGAATGTGGTCCAAATAAGTAAACCATTGCATACGAAGAGGCCCAGGACGATCAAAATCTGTCGATTGGAGGGCAAAAATAACACTAGAATAGTCACTTTACAGCTAAAGACAATGCCAACCCCATTGATATGCAAACTCTACACCAATAATAACTGCTGATAAGTTTGCAAAAAAAAAAAAAAGAGTTGTAATGAACAATCCCTTGGCAGAAACCACCAAGAAACTAACCATGGCAATCCCGAAAAAACTCCTCCATAAGCAGCAAGACCAGGATTTCCTTTAGACTGACATGATTTGCTCGACTAAAAAATTTGTCATTCTTGTTCAGGTTAGGAGACGGAGTACTCCCAAGTCATTTCTAGTCAAATTAAAATAAGGGTACAATGCTATCCACACACACATTTGTACTTTTCACACACCTGTTAATTTTCGACCGTCAAATCAAATCAATCAAAGAAGATCAATGATAAAAAATTTACAAGAGTATGTGAGAAGTAAAAATGAGTATATAAATATCACTATCCTAGAATAAACCCAGCTATGTGGCACTCATAGATACATGAATAGTAGACTACTATTCATTGAGAATAATTTGTCAACTTAATACATTTTTTTATTTCAAAACCCTTAGTAGTCACGATGAAATTTGAGTGAGAATAGAATTGAAGAAGTTATATAATAAATTGAGAGACATAAACTTTACCTTTCAAAACACATTAAACTCAACCTTTTTTGAAACCTCAAGGGAGTTGATAATTCCATTGGGAGCTTTATATGTAGAGACAAAAAGTTTTATTATAATTCAAGAAACTCCACTAGTTTTTAAACATGTCAAGGAGAGACAAAAACATAAAAACAACGAAAGCCCAACCCAAAAACATAGAAACAATGTTTTAAAATACCAGCTGTACCCCTAAGGTTTTATGCTATTAATAAAACTCACCCTCACAACTCCAATAAATTTAATATGTGTCCACCCATCTTCGACTAATTTTGTAGAATCAGTTCAATTCGTCATCGATCATTTTTGTAGAATCAGTTCAACCCTCTTCGACCATTTTTGTAGAATCAGTTCCAACCCCTCTTCGACCATTTTTGTAGAATTAGTTTAACCATTTCTTAACTATTTTTGCAGAATCAGTCAACCCATCTTTAACCATTTTTGCAGAATCAGTTCAATTTGTCTTTGACCGTTTGTAGAATCGGTTCAACTAGTCTTCGACCATTTTCACATAATCAATTCAACTCATCCGACCATTTTTGCAGAATCAGTTCAATCTGTCGTTGGCTATTTTTGCAAAACAGTTCAACCCGTTTTCGACTATTTTGCAGAATTAGTTCAACCCGTCGTCGACCATTTTTGCATAATCGATTCAAAGTTCAACCAATCATTGACCATTTTTGCATAGTCAGTTCAACTCATCTACGACCATTTTTGCATAATCAATTCAATTCGTCGTCGAACACTTTTGCAGAATCAGTTCAACTCGTCCTCAACCATTTTTTGCATAATTAGTTCACTTGTCATCGACCATTTTTGCAGCATTAGTTCAACCCGTCCTTGACTATTTTTGCAGAATCAATTCAACCCATCTTCGGCTAATACTAACATAATTTCCCTCTTTCACACGGAAGAAAGGTGAAATGTGAACCGGAATGTTCGAGTGCCTTTTCTTGTATTTAGAAATAAGTGAAACTTTTGAAATTACCAGTTCGAATGTTACCTTTTGAAAATACCAGTTGAAATGTTGCCTTCTGGACCAATATAAATAGCGAATAACGACAAGGCGACTAGAGCGATGATTAAATTGCATATATGGTACTGATTCGAGTCGGCCCCTTCTTCTTCTTGCTCTGAATTAATAGTGTATGAGGCTTTATCTAAGCTATGAGCTTCGAATTTATCTCCAATCACAAAATTTGAAAGAAAATTTAAAAATTGGATGGTGAATCTTGATCCTTAAATCAATTGGAATCAAAACCCTATAAATGAACTGGAATTTGAGAAGGTACCTTCGAGATTTGGGCTGTGTATTTTTTATTGAAGATTGACGGCATGGATTGAGTTGCAGTGAGGTTGAAATGTTTGAATCGTAGAAAGAGAGAGAGAGAGAGAGAGAGAGAGAGAGAGAGAGAGAGAGAGTCGAGTTTAGTGGCCGATTCGGATTTAACCAATTTTGGCCACTAACGGAAAGAAGTTGCAGTCAACAACAATTTCAATGTGGCTTCCTATTCACCTTGTGTTTATATTAGCTTCCTAAAGCCAACCACCAAGTGAGACAAATTTGGACTATATTTAAGAATATCCATATCTTTTTCTTTGGGGATTTGATTGCCTCTCGAGGGCTCGGTCTGCCATTTTGGATCTGGTTCGAGGAGTGGTGGAATCTGAGCAAAAACTCACATTTTGAATTTTAATATAAAGGTTGTTTTTGTAACTTACACTCTAAAAAACAAAAGTCAATGATGTCATTTTTCATATGCATTAACTTTTGTCTTTCCTTGAAATGTTTAAAAAGTGTTATCTCAATATATAATTAAGTATTAAAAGTATATTCTATGTGTAATTTTTCCAATTCCATTCACGTTTTTCTAAATATTTTAATGGGGAATATTTATTTTAGAAGATAAATTTTACCTCTCAGAAAAAAGAAAGATACAAGAACGAGGAAGGACAGAGGACCTAACCCTTCATAAACAAACTTAAAAAAATATAAAAACAGAAAAAAAAAAGAAGAAGAAGCAAGAAGATTAAAATAAACTTAAGAATTATAATTTTATAAATATGTAGTTGATGTGAAAATGTGGGATTTTGTCCTCACATTTTCACACACCCTTTTATGTGTGACAAATTTTTAAGCCTCGATAATACAAAGTGATGACGTGGAGCACGTGAGTTGAGGTTTCACCATAAAACCAATTGGTAGTATGAGAAATAACTCAATCTCTTATTAGCTCTTGCATGATGTAGTCTCATTGATATGGGACTTTGTCCTCACATTCTCACCATTGCCTCATGGGAAATTATGGATATATATAGAACCGTATGCATATGGTGGGGAATGTGAAAGAAATCTAACTTGACAATTATTCGGTTGTGCTTGTAAACAGGTGGTGTCCAGTACTGACTTTAAGGTTTGATCATCTTGTGTGATATATATTCTCCAAATTCCATTGTTTGTTCCAGGTCTTGGTTTGGCTGTGTCGATATTTTTATATTATGTATGATTTCCATATATCGAAAAACGAGAATGGAATTATCATCAACTCCTTGACGTTTAGCCAAACGTTATACATTTTATGCACCATTTACCGTCTAGCATAAATATTCTTCGTGAAATATCCATAGTGAAGTGCCATATAGAATATCATTGTTCAAAC